GGAGATACTTATACAGGTTCAGGGTGAACAGGAAAGAGTAGTTAGAGGAGATACCCATACAGGTTCAGGGTGAACATGAAAGAGTAGGTAGAGGAGATACCCATACAGGTTCAGGATGAACAGGAAAGAATAGTTAGAGGAGATACTTATACAGGTTCAGGGTGAACAGGAAAGAGTAGGTAGAGGAGATACCCATACAGGTTCAGGGTGAACAGGAAAGAGTAGGTAGAGGAGATACCCATACAGGTTCAGGGTGAACAGGAAAGAGTAGGTAGAGGAGATACCCAAACAGGTTCAGGGTGAACAGGAAAGAGTAGGTAGAGGAGATACCCAAACAGGTTAAGGGTGAACAGGAAAGAGTAGGTAGAGGAGATACCCAAACAGGTTCAGGGTGAACAGGAAGAGGAGATACCTATACAGGTTCAGGGTGAACAGGAAAGCGTAGGTAGAGGAGATACCCATACAGCTTCAGGATGAACAGGAAAGAATAGTTAGAGGAGATACTTATACAGGTTCAGGGTGAACAGGTATAGGAGATACCCATACAGGTTCAGGGTGAACAGGTAGAGGAGATACCCATACAGGTTCAAGGTGAACAGGTAGAGGAGATACCTATACAGGTTCAGGGTGAACAGGTAGAGGAGATACCCATACAGGTTCAGGGTGAACAGGAAAGAGTAGGTAGAGGAGATACCCATACAGGTTCAGTGAAAGAACAGACTTGCTGCATCCTCTGCATGTGCGACTGGAAAGACCGATTTGAGTTAACATAAAGGAACTGCTGTTGAGGCTGTATTTAAGAAACAAGTATTTATTTTGCTTCACTCTTTGGAATTTCGGACACATTCCTTTCCATTACCCAATCTTGTTTGTTTTGGCGTTGTCTTCTTATCACATGTTTTTATATCATATGGGATTGTGCAAGGGCGTAAACAAAATGAAAGTTCGAGTTATAAATGTTGCAACAGGAGCCATAGATAAAATAATTGATTTTACTTCCAGTCCCGATATGCTCTAAAATATATGTTCACCCTCATATGAAAACAAAAACAGGCCAGAGACATAGTTTTTTCTTATAGAACAATCGGCAGGAAAATCTTGCCAATTTATTTCAAAAACAGTATATTTATATTGTCTTTGAAAAGAAAAGCTCTCCTAATAAAAGACGAAAGACATTTCTTCCTTATATTTGTTGTATGTGGTGTGCTACTGTAACAGTTTATTAATCTGATAGAAGAAACCGTTCTAGTGAAAGAATGCTCAAGATTGATCGAAACATCTGTTGAGATCTTCAAAATTCATATTGCATTAATTCCGCTTCCTAGGTAATGTATTCAGTCAGCAGATAAAAATGAGGTAGATAAAAATGTCACTACATAAGTGTTTTAAACACGATATTTTTATATGTAATTGTCTGCTTTCTGAAGTTTACAAATAATACAATGAAATAGTGCTGAAACAGTATTTTTTATTGTGCTCAGATATAGGCTCGTTTTCCCCTTTATAGTTCTCGTGATTTCATATATCACATTATATGATATTATTAAATAAATATATAGTCACATATATAGTCACAATGTTAATGCATTCACATCCCTTATATTTTGTTACTAAACACATTTCACATTTCATCAATCCGATTTATAAAAACGAAGTCAGTCTTTCACACGCCCTTCTCACATGTGCACGATCACTAACATTACATACATTACAAACACATGCGTAACTGAATGATCACAATTCAATATCGTCTGTAATTACCAACACAAACTCGAAAATACACCGCGTACTCCCTACTCCTAACATACACACAGACGCAAACACACACACACGCTCGCATACATACACGCACGCACGCACGCACGCACGCACGCACGCACGCACGCACGCACGCACGCACGCACGCACGCACGCACGCACGCACGCACGCACGCACGCACGCACGCACGCACGCACGCACGCACGCACGCACGCACGCACGCACNAAGCACTTGGAAACATTTTCCTTGGTTTATATAGTAACCAGAACAAAATTTAAATGGAAATGGATTATTTTTATGTCATGTTGCCAACTAACTTCATGTGATATTCAACGATAGGAGATCAAGTCAACGAAACGACACAGGTCATGTTAATAGGAAACTAATTTGACAGCTTTATTAAATGATACAATACGTATATAATTATAGTTAATATGTTTCAAATGTTCTAATAAAAACATCGTACCGCAAATATTTTAAAGACATGTCGGAAATTAAAGTATATTTAAAGAATGAGTGATGGCTGAAATATGTAAAAATTGATAAACGTCTTTTCTTAGTGCGACATATATCATAATATATTATAACATAATGTACCTTTAATGAGGCTAACGAACCGATAACTGAAGGACTATGGTTCAGTATTAGTAGAGGGTTTTCGTTTAGCAACTGTGTGCGAAAGTAGAAAAAAAATCCTCAGAAATAAAATGATTTAGTATGAAATGGGGTACATCTATTATCATATATATATTTTTTTTAAATTTATTGGATATGCTAATGCTTGACAGCATGCCAAAGTTACATATTATAATTGATGTAAAACATGACAAATGTAACAAGTAGTATAATACATTACATAGTCAGAAGGGTATAATTTATGTAATTCTTGGCAAACCTAAGTTCTCACAAATGAAATATCATCAATTATCAATTTGATGAAAGCTTCTATAATCACTTCAGTTTAGCGAAGATATACGAATTGTTGTATCCACACACGTGAAGAGGTCACAGTCGAGTAGTATTGTCCAATCGGAACGGTACTACGTAAATTGTCATTTTCAACTTCACATGCAGCGACGGAAAACTACATGGTTGTTTTACACACCTTTGCTCCATACACTAGAGCATAACTATGTAACGTAATTACACAACTAATTTCAATTTGTTTGGAAAGCCTAGCATAAAGTAGCAACAAACGACAACATTGCTAAATAATCCATTCAATTTAGAGTTCTTCCTTTTTGCCAAGCTTGACGTCATGATAACTATTATTAAATATTACGTGTCTAATTCCCACACTTATTGATGCAATAATCATTGCTTTTTTGTTATTTTTAAAATGTAGTAAATAGACAATTAGTGATTTTCCCGTAGAAGACCATATGAATATTTCATTATCTTGGCAGAATACATACCAATAGTTGCACTCGTGCCTCGTACATGAGAAAGTTATCGCCTGAACTCGTGAACTATGTCTGGTTTTCAACAGGAAGCCATTAAATATCTATATATTTAATGCAAAAAGGTGCAAATTACCGTTCTCATAATTGATGTTAGCTATGTCTCGATGGAAAAGTATCAGCAATTCATGAATTAAATAACTTACCAATAATTGATGTATAAACGACACGAATTATATTCCTGCATGAATTGATATGATAAGTGAAAACGTATTTATGAATGATGTAGTGAAACAAATAAAACATGATTATAGTTGATTGAAAAAAACCTATAAATGAAACCATAAATAAAAAGTACATACCAATTATTGATGTATTTCAAACAGAATTACATACTTATGATCGGTATAATACATGGCAAAACTTACCAATAATTGATACAACAGAAAAAGAAACAAACAAAACATACCCAAACTTGATGGAGTATAGGTAGGATCATTTATCTATTTAATAAGCAGTAACATATCTAATTGATGTAAAAAGGGGACGAAAACCACATACGTTTAATTTCTGTAATATATGAAAATGTTACCTATAATTTATGTATTATTAGACAAACGTACATGTATATGATTGATGCAATTCATGAGAAAACCACACTCTTATGTATTGATGTAATACATGACAAAGTTTCATAACTGTTAGTTATGTTTTACACCTATCATACATTTACCATGGTCACCTTGTAATACCTGTATCGTGACTGTCACAGCATCTGTGATTTGACAGGAAACAGCATGACGAGTGCCACTCATAGTGCAGAAAGTGCTTACAGTGTGACATAGCAGACTTTGTTAATGTCTTTTGCTTTTCTTTGACGTGAATCATCTGACAAATCTTGGACAAATCCAAGTCTTCCCTCTTGTTTTTGTGTGAATCATCTGACTTTGTCCATGTGTTTCCTTTTGCTTTGGCGTAAAGCATCAGATTTTGTTCATGTCTGCCCTATTATTTTCGTGTGAAGCTTTGTCCTAGTTTCCCTTTTTTGTAAGCGTGGATCATCATATTTTTGTGCATGGCCTCCCATTGTTTCAGTATGGAGCATCATACTTTGTTCATGTCTTCCCTTTTGTTTTGGTTTGAAGCATCAGACTTTGTTCGTGTCCTCCTTTTTGTTTTGGTGTCTCCTTGGCCTCATTTGCTATGATTGTAACTGTACACTAATCTTTATCATACATAACATAGTTGATTGAAGATAGTAAAACCTATACATTTCCTCTTGTTTTTACATTTTACTCCGAGCAAAGATGGAGTTCCACCGATCTAGTAATAATGTGATAATCTAATCACATTGACTTTCAGCTCATATTTCGTAAAGAAAGATAAAATGTGAGAGAACTCAGTACGAAAAGAGAAAAGTTTTCACAAAAAGAGGAAATACATTTTTACCTCCATTCCACCCCATGATCAAAGCCGCTAATGTATACCAAATGATCTCGTAGGGATACTACCATCCAGGTATGTTTGTCGTTGTGACACTAATAAAAGTATTTGGTTATGCAATCAATCTTAGTTAAATACAATGACAGTTTTTCCAGTGTAAAATTTGTATTTACAATTTGTTACTGGTTACACTGTAATTGAATATTCTTTTAAATACAAAACATAACGTAACTGATTTACATATTTAAGTTATAGTTCGTGACGAAAGGAAACGAAGTGTGACATTATTATTTTAGGTATTGTGCATTCAACCACGACACAAACTACGAATCAGTCGCGGCTTATTTTCGATTTGCATAATATGCAAATTAGTAGGAGAAAGTTACCATGTTTTGAGCGAACTCTTCATGGACTGCTGTTACAAGGGAACTTGAAGTGAGAGGGGCCAGATCGTGGGAGCTGCAAAGAGGACAGCATGCACGAAGTAACAACCAATGGTGGATAAACTAGCTGCAAATTACTTCAGGATTCTAGTGCTTTACAAGAAAAGATATTATTGAGTGAAAGTGAATATATATATATTTATACGCGACTTTGACAATAAACTATTAATTCACGATGGGAGAATTACCTGTAATGATGCTAATGACACTTCTATATGGAGGTACAATTCATCCAGGTAAGTGTGTGACGATGTATTATTAGTTTCACGTATTCGTCGATTCCACAATGGCACCTGCAAGGTAAGTAGATACTGTCTACTATAAGTATTGAATAATATCTGCAATCTTGTGGGCAATAACAGTTTTTCACTGAAAATCATAGTAAGTTTCCAAAATGCCTCTCTTCTTAAAATAACGACACTGCATGCAAGCAATTAGTGGAAGGCTGATAATTATTTTTTAATGACTTTTCGATAATAAGTAATTTATATTTCTGTTGAAAAGAAACTTGCAAAGTAAAAGAAATAGAACAGAAAAACAAAAACTGAATGGGATCTAATACATTAACCATAGATAACTATCACAAAAGATTATTAAGGGTTACCAAGTCATAGGGACTGTTTTTAAATTAAAAATAAACAACTTCTAGCTTCCATGTCATGACTGGTGTAATTATTATTAATGGGCAATAATTCATTTAATAAATCCCAATTATGGCATAACACACGGAATATAGCAAATCAGTACGTAATCTAAATTCTTACCAGGATCTATTGATATTTTATGCTAAAATAAATATAGCAAGACTCATACATCTTAAGAATACTTGAAACCGTGCCTAAAACACATACAATTATGCTAGGGGAAATTAACAGCTACGCGTTTATCACATGAGAAACAGTTCAAATTAATGAGATAGGAGCTGTTTTACACGTAACATAGTTATGTTTTATGTAGATAATTAAAACATTAACTTCATAAGAAGACGTGCGAGCTAAATGTGTGTCCTGACTTCTCACCAATAACTGTCTGTTATTATATACAATCGTGTAACGTTTATACTTTCATCGCCATTAGTTTAGCATACTACCAAACTTGTTTATGTAATTGGGCATAACGTAATTAACGTTCGAGATAAAAATAAACTCAAAAACGTTCATGGTAGTGTGATCGACTTGTTACAGGATTAACGGACCGATTTCGAGTTAAACATATGTTAATTAACCTGTCATGGTAACCAGAGTTGATGTTAAAATAAAGGGGGTGTTCGAGATATCAAATCACGTGATATCGAGTATTCTTTTATAATATATTACGCACGTATACACTATTTAGCTTTCAACTGATACCATTGAATATGCATAACAAATTATCACGAAAATTAAAAAAAAATCCAAAATGTACATTAATAGCGTGCGAAGCGATTCCACGGCGCAGTGTTATATAGATATTTTGTAATAGGATCAACTTATTGATTTACGAACCAAGAAACCTCGTATTAGCAATAGAAACCATTTTATCATGTCGTTAATGTCTAATACTTCGCGCACGTAAAGGTGAAGTAATTGCCGAAGTTTTTGAAAATCATGAATAATTTATTATCTAATTGTCCTGTTTAATGACAATACACGTATATCGTGTAGTTCCATAATCACCTGTTGGTGTCCAGGGTTGTCTTCAGTCACGTGGCATGTCTATCTAGAATCGTAATGTAAAGCAATTCATCACTTACGTCACGACATTCGCAATCTCGGCTGAGCACCATGCAACTCTGCACATTAATTAGGCAAACACGCAAAAGTATTCCGTTTATTAGAATACTGGTGATTAATGCCATACCACAAGGACACGTTTTTAGGATGTTAATACGAATCAATATTGTCATATCAGAATATCCTTAATATTATTTAATTGATATGATGGAATAAGTATTGCTCGTTTAATGAAAAGGAGTTAAAACCTCATTTTGACACTTCAGTAATGTGTCGTAAGAGACAAAGCCATACATCTCCATTTTGCCTTGTGACACATCCATTAATATGCATTATTCTTGTTTAATTTACCGGAAACTATGTATAATACCACATGATCGTAATTGTATCGGTAATACATACAAGCTATACCGTACGCCTGTTAATAATACCTATATAACGCACAATGGTATCACAATGGTAAAGATAGGAAGAGAAATGCTAAAGTAATATTATGCTAAAATTAATTACCTGCACTAGTCTTTGATACATTGATTGATTGATTGATTGATTCATAAATATTAATGTGTCTTTGTAATGAAATAATACGGTCCAATGTCGTAACAATGATTTAGAGTATACCTATTAATACTTTTCAGTATGTAAGGACACGCATAGGTGTGGGAGACAGAAACACGGAAACAGTCGTCAAACCCAGCTAATTACATCCAGTACATCAGACAATGTCAACCTTACCTACACATAATTAGGCAATTGTTTCATATGCATGTCACGTCAGGTTTTAAGGGAGGCCACCAGTTTGACAACACCTTATAATTATTTTATAGAAAGCATGATTGATTAAACATATTTGTAGGGTTACATCCGTTATGATGTATAACGGATTGTCAGTTTTGATGATAAACAACCTTTTGGATGCTTTGTTTGTTTGATGTTCAACGTTCTTAAAACAGTCAAGGTCTTTTAAAGACGGAGTTGATGAGTGTGGAAGCCAAGTAAGAGAAACTATAAAAGGCAATCTCACTGAAATGTCACGAACTGGACATGGGAGTATGGCAGTTCACCCTACCACATTGTACTTAATATGAGCTAGCCAACATGAACTGGCACTGATGTTTAGCTGAACGTCTAATAGAGATTAGTGAACATCAACAATAAAGACATTGGCTTGTCTAAATCCGAGGAACTGGACCCAAAACCTTCCTATTTAGATAAAAGCAGAGAAAAATGTCTCGAACGCTAAAAGACGACTACAACAGATTAATTTCGATTTTTTGTGTGTCCTGATATAACAAAAAATTAACACTTCTGCGATATTCCCGTCTAAGTGGCCTCTTACAGGTCATGCAGTAGGTCACAACAGCTAAATGCCCGACATGTATCGGTGTTAGTTGATACTGTAATTAAACCAACATTAAAGAATAAAATGAAATGGAAACTAATTGCTACATTAAACGAACATAAAAATGCAAATTATAATAGTAGAAGGTACGTAATGGAGTTATATGCATTTGATCATTAATTTTGGATGAATAAAAGCAAGATTCTGTTAATGTTGTATAGTTTTCTTAGCTGTTCATTATATATGTGATATGTTAACGATATCTTCTTAAATAAGATATCATAATTTATTCTTACCCTAACTTGAATAATACAAGTAATCTTTGTCCAAAAAAAGGGATCTATACCAATTTATAAATAATTGGTGCTAATTGATAAATGAATGTTATGTTTGTTAATGAAATAATTTATGAAGGAGGAAATAAAGTCAAGTAGCCTTAATGTAGTTATTCACTCGGTTATTCAATGTTAACTATTATTTTTTTAACATAAGCCATATATACTTCACTTAATTATAATGATATTCAAAACACACGGTAAGGGTGTCGCTGCTGAATACATACAATCTAATTGATATGCTACCTTGACTCGCCTAGAACATAATTAAATCAAAGCCCCTTTGACATTAAGACAAGAAAACATCGCACTATGTGGCGAATGGGAAAGTGATACATTTAAAGGCAATGGTAAATTATGTGATTACAAATCTTATATACAAAGACGACCTTTAACAAACGACATATTAATCATCTCAAGCACTACAGACATCTCCCCGGAAATATAGCGAACACCTGCGGATTGGAAGGACCTGATAATGACTTCCCGGAAATATTAATTAATACGGCATATTTACTCGTCTAACAACTGGTCTGAACACACGACATTTATAATCCGGCTATCCTACTACATTGCGGATGTTCCTATTTACTGTACCCTCCCCTTTACTTCTGATTAGATATAATTGTTATTGACCAACTCAGGTAACTCAGTCAGCTAGATGGATAGTATGTCAATATTGCCGGTGTAGCCTCGCTGTAGTTCAGAGCACTGTTGCTGATTATGGTTTCTTTATTTCATCTTTATTGTTTCTCATAAAAATCCCAGAGGGTATGGTTTTCATTTCAGTAAATGATTTTTCAAAGCCATAGTCATGCCAGAAAGACTTTTGGAATAACACTTAGTTAGAGTTTTTGACAGTGAAACGGTGTTCCTTAAGACGCTATCTGATTGATCCATAAGATGTTTCCAGTTTGTGAAAGACAAACTTTAAACTATAAGCAATACTGTTGATTAAATAGAAAAGTTTAAGAACGTTTTTTTGGTATGACTGTCTTATGTGTTTATATCTGAAATATATCTAAAATTTTATTGATTTCGAAAAGTGATTGTGATTTGCAATTTGAATGTTTAATTGTAACGTTTTTAATCGTACGTATTTGAATAACACATATCAACTATCTATGTGAGTAATTTGTAAGTATAACGCTCATCAGAAAAGACGATTCTCAGCCATCAACTCAAGCTTTATAATGACCCAGTCTTACTGAATAAGAAATTAGACTTTTAAACATTAGTACACGTATACTACGTCGTATCGTGACAGATATATCACACGACTTGTCTGGATAGCTATATCAATTACAAATCAAATTCGTAATAATTTATGTTTAGCGATTTAATGACATTCCAGTTTTATGAACAAATTGCTAATCGATCAACCGATCAATATATATGCTAAGTACTATTTCTCGTTCAATAACGTGGGACCTGCATTATTTTAAGTTATTATTAATAAGCTATTTTTGTGACTGATTATTATTATTTTCTTATTTAATTGTATTTCCTGAATTCCAGGGATTGTCTTTCCTTGTCAACATTTGGACCCAAATTTCTCTTGTGTTAACTCTGTGATATTTTCATTTCATTTATTATATTATTACAGACAGAGTTATATAATGTAATATGTGAACAAGTCATTCGAACCATAGAAATATCATAGAATAAGAGAGGCGTTAAAATAGTAATAAAGTAGGATAAAGATAAAAACAAAAAGATTGACCAGAGGTTAGGAATGCCATGTTGTGATAACTTGGGTCCAATCGCTTGGTTTTATTTCAGGAAATATAAGATATGTTTAAATCAAATAGGAATAACATAAGTTCAATATAATCCTGAAAGTCAAA